TGGTGTCACCCCCCCTCTGAAAAGTCGGGCGCTCGGTCATGGACCAAACACCCGACAGTATCAGGAGGGAGAGGAGGGGACACCTTATCCCGCCGGGTGACTGTCCCCTCCTCTCTCTGCCAGCGTCCATCACCAAGATGGCCGCCGGCAGGTATCAGAAGAGTGCCGCGCGTGTGCGCGATGACGAGTCGGCTGGGTGACACTCGGTAACCGCTCTGGGGTGTCACCCAGCTTTGGGACGCCCGTGGACCTCTGTACAAATTGTAGTGGTAAACCTAAAAACAGAACGTCGGAATGGACTGAGGCACAAGGAATAGGTTTTGATTCTTGTTTTTGTTTTTTAATGTATACTAGGTTTGAAGTATACAGCATACTTATTATTCTACCGTGTTTCCCCGAAAATAAGACACTGTCTTATATTTTTTTTTTTGCCCCCAATAACCACACTAGGTCTTTTTTTTTCTCGCAACGCAGGGTCCCTTCTTCAGGGCAACATAATGACGGCATTTTTTTCAGTATTCCATATGTCCAATTTGAAGGTGCGGCTTGCAAGTAGCTAATTGTTGCACAAATAAAATATAAAACAAATCTAAGAACGTTTTCTCGGAACACTACAATAAACAAATTTGCTTTCTTAAAAATTTTTTTAATCGTTCTGCTTCCTCCTGCGCTGCGTAACAGAGCGACTGAGGAGTGTAAGGAGAGAGTGGGCTGCGCGCTTGTTTTCTATGATGTTAATCATGATCGTCTATGATAATGAATATTCTGCGCTGCGAGAGATTTAGGTGTATGATGGGGGGGATGTGCTGGGGGGGGGGGGGCGGCTGCCTCTGCATAAATATCACAAAGTTACATATATATGACAAAAAAAATAGCTCTGCATATTCTACTTATTGTGGACAAAACAGCAGCTGGAAACCGTTTTAATGCTTTACAAAGCCCCGGCGTGCGTTCTGCCTCCCGCTGCAATAATGCGGTGTGTGTTTTCTGTAGTATATTTTTAAAGTGAGGGTTTCATTTAACATGAGAAAAAAAAACAACAAAAAAAACACTTTATGTGTTAGATAAATTTATCCATTAAATGTACCCAGTGCGTGGAGCTGAAGTTTATTCTGGTTATATTTTGCCTTCCCTGGTTCCTCCCCCCTCCCCCCCTCCCCCAACATCCTAATGGCGTTCTGAAATAAAACATTTCGATTTTTCCTTACATATCTTCTTTTTTTATACTCTGACGATATCACAAAAATCTTTTTTTTTGCAAACACATTTCTCCTAAGGAACCTCAGAGAGATTACACACAATTTGCTCCTCCCCAGTGGTGACGTGTGTGTAGATATTATATGCGGGGAGGCAACAGAGCGACGTAAAGTACAACCGTGGCAAATTGTTATCAGCAATCAGAATATTTTTTTTAATGTCGTTATTATATGTATTACATCAAATATTAATATAAAATATGTATGTATGACACCTGCCAAGGACGGGTGGCGGGGTTATCCTTTGTTCTGATTTGGTTTGATCTCTTCTCCCCCCCAGGTGATGTTGGCAGCCTCCTATTGGTCTCTCCTGGCCCCGGCTATTGAGATGTCGGAGCATTACGGAAGGCTGGCTTTCCTCCCGGCCGCCGTGGGTTTCTCCTTGGGGGCCGGCTTTGTGTATTTTGCTGACCTCCTTTTGCCGGCGCTGGTAAGTCAAAGTAATAATTTGCGGCTTCAGAGAACCATATAATCCAGTGTGAACCGACATCCCGACACAAGAGGCCCAATTCACAAAGCTTTAACACCAGCCTAAGCTATCCGGTCATGTGACCATCATTTTCAAATTTCATTGGACACAGCTAAAAATATCTCTCACTATGTCTGTCTGTCTGACTGTCTGTCTGTCTCTCTGTCTGTCTATCTATCCCTCTTCCTCTCTCTCTCTCTCTCTCTCCCTCCCTCCATCGCTCTCTCTCAACGTAAAAGAAAAAAATAACATATTTTCATTTTCGGTAGGCCAGGATGATACATGCATTTTGCTAAGAGAGTTTAGTATTTCCAATACTTTAAAATAAATAATAAATCAATCAATCAATAATATCCGTTTTATGGCAAAGCTACAGGTTCACCTTGAAACCCCCCCCCTCCCCCAATCACATATACTCAGCCGTCCTTCACAAGCACCTGGTGTTTGTTTACATTACAAGGCTGGCAGGCTGCCAACATTCTGCCTCCATAGAAGATAAGGGGAGAGGATCTGGGATTTCTGTGCCTTTGTTGTGAATTCTGAAGATGAATTTCCTTGCGGCGCCTCCAGCTACAGAGATGATTGAGAACTTGTTTTAAAATGCTTTTAATTCTTGCTCAGAATATATAAATACTTGAACGTGCACAATGCGGCCACGGGTTCTCTTTATGTCGGGATTGCAATCTTTTCTCTCCCACACTCGGAATAGACAGATGTCTCCGAGACAAAAATATCGCCGTGTGTTTTTTGCGGTGCGTGATTAGATTTGCAGCCAGTCATGCGGAAACCCCACCAATGCTTATTACTATTCGCCATTATTAGCCTTGACAACATAAAATCTTTGCTGTGGATAAAGAATGCCTCCTTAAGAAGGCTTGACAGGTTATTTTTATGATCTTTACCTGCTGTGGATTATTAAAGCTCTTTGTAATTTTCCTCCTGCTTGGCGGTCATGCTGTGACAGCGTATGATGCTGGATGGCAGCCATCTTGGTGGGGAACATCAGTCAAATATAGGGGAAGGTGTTGTTAGTTCTGCACACCTTTCCACATTTTTTAATTGTGCCTCGGGCAGCGGGGATAGAGGTGCCAGAAGCACAACTTCTATTATCTGTGGTTACACTTTCCTTTTATCTTCTTTTAATGGACTCTCCCTCTCTCTCCCCCTCACTATCCCCCTCTCTCTTTACCTCTCCTCTCTTTTTCTCCCTCTCCTCCTCTCTCTCTCCCCCCTCTCTCCATCTCCCCTTCTCTCCCTCTCTCCCTCTCCCCCTCTCTCCTTCTCTCTCTCCCTCTCTCCTTCTCTCCCCCTCACTCTCTCTCTCCCTCTCCCTCTCTCCCCCTCCCTCTCCCTCTCCGCCTCTCTCCCCCTCACTCTCC